GGATACCGGCCCAACGTCGTGCACACGGACATTGTCTGTCATCCAAAGATGCAGCTGACCCTTTCCCTTCTCCTCAGAATACACCGGCGTGGTGAGCAGCATCACCTTCTTTCCATCGATGGTTGCAGTGATGAAACCACTTCGCACGCCCTCCCCTTTTCTATCACGTGAGTTGCCCCACACGCGGGAAATTGGCGCACCGTCACGCCAAGCCTTCAAAGACGTATAAGACCTGTATACGTAATATGAGCCATCCGTGCAGGGAGCCATCATGAAGATGCGTCGGTCATCGACTTCGCCCCACTCCACAATCGATGGATTGTGGCAACCCTCACCCTCCGTATCGAGCAAAGACTCCCATTTATTCTCTGACGGGGTGAAGTGCGCGGCCTGCAAAACGTTCTTCCCATCATTCTTTGTGGCCTGCACGGGAAACACAACTATGCCGTCACTCATCACAGTACCTGATCCTCCGACAGCAGAAAAATGACTCAAGGATCCAGCAAGATTGGGTCCAAGCTCAAACTCCACCGCATAGGTCTCGTTCCACTGTACTTTCTTCTCTCCACCCTCAGTGACACTCCCCTTCACCAGCAAAAGCTTACATCCACTTCGATCAGCCTCTCTGGTCTCCTGTGTTGCACGGCTGCAGCTTCCCAGCAGCATATAGACATTGTTGCCACTCACAATTGTCGTTGGTCGCACTGTGTCCTTCATTTCGTTGTCACCTTCCTTCAGCAGCTGCGTGTGAAAGGAATCTGTGCCCGCACCCATCGGAATCTCAGTCGGTTCTGTTCCAATTCCCTTCAGGTGCTGTGACACAATCCCAGTGAAGCTGACGCTTCCATTCTTGCACTGGGCCTCAGCAACGGCAAACACAGCACCGTCCACCTCCACAAGGCTAGGGGCACGAAGCGAGCGAACTGACCCTTCGACGCATTGCACTTCCTCCCACTTTGCACCAGTTATCGGTGTCGTTCCTGTAAACAAATTAATGCTCGTCCCTGGGGCACTCCCCGCAGCTTGACTGCCACAGCATGTCAACAGCAGAAACAGCAGCAGCAGCAGCAGCGAATACAAAAACATGTGCCAGGACATGTTGAGCATGTGTCGCCGCTCACTCACTCACTCACTGTCTCCCTTCACTCCTTGTAGGGATTGTTTTCAGGCCGCGACGATTGTGTGTGTGTGTGTGTGTGTTGC